GAGCAGTTCGTTTGTGGTGTAGGATTTCGGGCAGTATAGTAGTTATCGCGTACTTCGTGGTACCGAAAAGTATCACACTGATCGGGATCTCAATAATCCCAGTGTTGGCTGGCGTTTTTTCCCTCTCCGCTCGTATGTTGGTCACGGCGAATATGTGTCAGTAAAAGAATGCCTGTAGTCTAGAAATCCCACCTGAGTCGCGGTTTTTGCGCGGAGCACGCGCGTTGAGGTAATTTCGCTGATGTTGTGTGGGAAACCTTCAGACGGCTCATCCGTTCCCGTGTCGCCGACGAGTACGTAGCTGCTTCTGGTAGCTTCTTCCTTTTCACCGTGTGGTCAACGTGTTTTTTCTTCTTCATTTTCGGTTGTTGTTGTTTTTTGTTGTTGTTGCTTAAACAGCCGAGAGTAGGTTGTGGCCTTCACAGTTGGCTGCGCTTTTTTGCGACCATGCATGGAATGAGCGATAGGGAGCCGGGCTGTGTTCCCGTTCAGCGCTCCGGATTGCTCTCGCATTCAGCACGAATTATGCCGACTTTTTCTTGACTTCACCCGCGTTCCGTGTCACTTCGTTCATCGGTTTACCAGCGTCTTTTTAGTTTTATTTTCTTTTTTCTCTTGGTGTGACCGGTCTTGAACTCGTTTTCCGGCGGTCCGGTCGGCGAGATACTGTCCATCCACTGGAACATTCCCCACTGACTGTAAACGTGACACTTTTTTCAGATCAGTATTTTTCAAAGTTTGTTTCGCCAGTCCCTCTGGAAAATTATCCTTTATTGAGGATATGTTTTGACTTTGAAATTAGTGTCACGCTTCTGTTGAATACCGTGGTCAGATGATTTCCCAATCCGCTGGCCCAAGAGGGTTGCGAAACACTGTTCTTCAACCTGTGGTCCGTGGACTGATGCCTGTCAGCAGAAATGTGGTGCTGGTCCACTGGAAATTCCTCCGGGAAACTTGGAAAGTACCCTGTCGGGCGTGAAGCTCAAAAGTGAGACAGTTCGACGGTTTTTTTCCGCGCGAAGTAAAGTACTACACTGTATTGTACAGTACAGGTGAACTTCCGTTTCAAGCCTTTCAACGACACTCGGGAAGGCGAAATCAACTCTTTATATGTTAATTATTGCTGTACAGGAGCTACTTATGCGTCGGGCAACTCTGGGATTAATAGAAAACGCTTCCTGTGTAAAACAATCGCATTATTGTATTAGCGTGAGAGAATGAGTGTCGGGCTATTTTCGAAGTGAAACTGAGATACGGCACATAACACTGGAATCTTCTGCGGATAGAATAATGCAGGATAATTTTTAATTTTGCACTCCAAAAAACCCACTCGATTTTCCTCACACCATAAAAATAACAAAAAGCGTTTGCCATCTTTGCATCCATTTCCTTTGTATACCCCGTCGGTGTCTAATCTTTTCGACTTACTGTACGTGCAAAATTTGGGTCCCACTGACAGCCTTAACACCCCTAAATCATTGACCCGCAACGTCTGTATTGTTGCCTCAATATTTTGAGAAATATCAAAGAAAAAATTGAATGTAAAGTATAATGAAAAAGGGTGGTCGAACAACTCAGCGGACATGATCTTTCCTATCACGTTTTGAAGCTGGGCAACCCTCGCATTTTCTGAATGGTTGGCAAGTTCGCGGAACCCTGTTGGACTCCGTTTGCAGGATTGTTTTCTCTAAAAGCCATTTTTATGGTCCTGGCATACGTGCGACTTCGTAACTCTTACACAGTACTGCGAAACTCGCTTATTCCCAATTTTTGGTCCCTCTCTCTCTTAAGCTAATTTCTTTTTTTTAATTAAAAACTAGGATCATCGTTCTGTTAGCATGTTTTTTTTCAGATTTTACCGTATGCGCGTGTGTGAGAGACGAGGGACTCCGGTTCATGTGCTGTCATTTTACACCCCTTGATCACCGAATATTTTTATTGGCATCCCTATTCCACAAGTGTAAGAAGAAAATTTAACTGCACTCTTGCACTTGCAGTGTATATATTTCCCGTTCTGTTGACACTTACAGTGCTATTTGCTCTTCATCCTTTTTTCGATTCCGAAAAAACAAGTTTTACTCGTTGTCAAACACATTCTTAGCGTTGTAGAGAAGCTCGAAAGTTAACTTCGGTGATCATTTTCACGCAGCAGTTTTTCTGAAGTATGCATTTTGGCGAAAGAATGTGGAATTGCGATTTTTGCGGCAAACGATCGAAGCGCATTGAAGTTTATACGGACATTCAAATTATTTGAAATCGCAGATTATCGGGAAGCATCGACGATTTCTTCATTTTCGCAGAAACGTTTGAAAATAATTCGGGATTCCGGCATTTTCACCGTTACCCTAATTTGTGTCCCCCACACCGTTTAGCGCATTCTTGGATGCACCTCAGGGGATTACGTAATCTACGAAGAATTTATCGATATTTTCATTACGTTTAATGCGATCAATGAGTCCGGAATTTCATTCATGTATGTAGTAAATGGATCGAATCCCGCGTGAATCAAAAACCTATTGGCTCCGAAATAACTTTCCTACTTTCGGAAAACGTAACGGTAAAATAAACTGGTTGCATGCAGTTGAGTGAGCCTGTGGTTTATAATCAAACGTGGAGTTGGTTCTCTTCGTGGGAATTTTCTCGCTGTTGTTCCCCGGATTTTCGTTGTCCCGTTAGCTGCAATGTACAATTTTAGTAATTTCTAATGCTATCGGATTATAATCCGCATTCCTTATCGTGTTTCATTTGCATTCTTTTGTCATTTGTAACAATTTGCATTCGTTGTTCGTTTTCAAGAATCTTCACTGTATATACAATATGTATAGATATATATTTCCCGTCTCGATTAATGGTCATGTGTGGCATTTTATACTTCGAAGGGTTATGAAGTACGATATATTCTAATTTATATTTGCGCCAAACTTTTGCTGTGACAAGGAACCTCGAGAAGTCGAATACTGAAGAGATTTTTTTATCGTACATAATGAATTTTTTTCTGTCCCGAAAGTGCGAGTAATTTTTCGTGTTTCTGTTGAGGAAAAGTCTGTGCGTTCTCAATTATGTGGGAGGTGATCCCTGATAACCAGTATACAGTATACATAAAAGGAATCTGATGTACAGTTGTGTAGACGCGAAGCTTCGCGAGGGGCACGTTGGATCTGATAACTTTTGTTTCAGATCTGTGCAGATAAGATCTGTTTATTAATGTGAAAATTTGAACATAATGCAGTGACTCAGATCTGGAGATTGAACTTTTTTTTGTCCAGTACTCCGCATGCATTTTTCCGAAGGATTCCGTTTCTTCGGGAAATTTATTTGTAGGAGCTAATGTTGGCGATTTTAACGATGGAAGGTTGATCCTATTGTTAGATTGTACTGATATCGCATTATTACAGGAAAATTGTCCGATGTGAAAGGGATTTTGTTTTTTGGTGAGGAGGTGTCCAATGATTCGACTGAAATTGAAAATTCCCTGATGGCAAATCGTCATCGACAGGTCATACTTGAGTTTGATCGATGCTATTTCTGATGAAATCCCTTCCTTTCCTCAGAATTCTCATATTTCCGAGTTCGCGCACGATCAGCATTTCTTCCTCACATAACACTCACCTTCACTCGTAAAAAGTAGAATAGAAACTCAAAAAAGTTTTGAATTTTGCTCTGTTAAAAGAGGAGCTGCGCAGTTTTCAGTCCAGTCTACTGTTACCCTTCGTTATTCCGAATTTTTGTATTGATTATTTCGCAGTTTTGATCGACGCACGATCGCTATACGGTAATTTTACTTCCAATTACACTAGTTTCATCGTGTTTGAGAAAACAAAATAAAAAATGCGATGGTTTTTTACACCAGTTTTTGATATGATTGAAGCGGGAAACATGCCGTTCATTAATACCGCATTCGTAAATGACTAGTGAATACGGTATACTTGGACCTCAAAGAACGCGCGGCGGTTGGATTATTTGCTGTGTTCCTTGTTTTTTAGGCGGTGAATAGGCGTTGTATGTATGGCAGAAGTATAAATCCCTGTAATGTTGACAGCGTTCGTTGCTTCAATCAATTTTCAGTGAAACGGTATGTGACGAATGAGATCAAATTTTTGAATTCTTGATACTGTGGATATTCTTATTTGTCCAAGTATTGCATTCAACTGCATCATATTTTTAGGAGGGTTTTGCTGAACCGCGTCATTATTTTTGAAATGCATGTAGTGGCTGTACCATTGCAACTAGAATCGGAAAATGGAAATCGGTCAAAATTGATCGACAGAACCTTAATTCGAAGATATTTTTTGTGATAGCGTTGAACGTTTAAGGAGTATCCCTATTCGGAGACGTAATCGTTTCTGGACTACCCTTAATTTTCTGCTAAAATTTGGCGTTCTGAAAATCGTGGAGTCTCCATTATTCGTGCTTCGATCACCCATTAAATGACTCAATTTATGGGCGTGCCATTGAAAAAGCTCGTGACATGTTTCAGTTGTCATCTTTGCAGCATGTTCTGCTGACCGAACTATTCCTGATTTCAGATAACTTCATATTTCTGATGCAGTACTTTTGATTTTGTTACAACTATGTTTATCTGAGTTTGTCTGTGTTGTTTATCACGTCGGACCCTTACATAAGAAATGTTTTTACATTTTCAATCGAACGTACGAAAAATTTTATCTAGGAAATATAATTTAATGGTAGGCCTGGGTAATCGAGATTCAGCATCAGTTTCGTGAGTGGCTCATTCAATAGACACGCCAGTTGATCGAATCAACGCGAATCGCGATATTGAGTACAACCTTCAAAGAGAACAGTGATTGAATTTGCATTACAAGATCAGCCTTCCATGTTCCGCGGGAAAAGTTATCGGTTTGAGTCGGTCGCATTTGCAACTCGGTTGGCAGACCGATTTCGAAGCGCGAAGCGAGACCGATTGTGTGACAAGGGGAACAATTTAGGTCGAGTCGTCCATGTGCCAGTTTTCAGTTCTTCAGTGATGAGTATGTTTTCTCTTTTTTTCCTATGAAGCAGGGAAGCAATACTCGAGTGAATCGTGCCGGGAGGTGCTTGATTGCGTGAGTGGGATGGACTGAAGACGCAGTAAGACCATCATGCCGGCGATCGCGATGCCCTCGAAGTACTCTTCGACATACGGTTCGTCGTATACCCACAAGTTTTGCTCGTCATCGTCATCTGTGGGCTCATTGTCATCTCGATCTAATTCGACGTATCGGGCTTTGAGCCTAGACCGACCATCGGTGTCTTCGTCGTCCCCACTGCGTCATCGACCTGCAATCTCAACATGGACCCCCACGTCATCGTCGACAATTGATTCACGATACCCAAGCGTTTCCACCAGGCTTCCAGCCAGACCGCCTCGACCCGGCGAAACCAAACATACGTATGAGCCTATTTCGACAAGGAAGGATCGGTACGGGGCGCGAGACTCGCTGACGTCGACGTCATCGTCGACGTTGACTTCGGCGTACCCCCGAAGCAGGGATTCCAGGTTGTTCACGTGCACTTCGTACGACGCCAGGAGTTCGTCGCGAGAGTCGAGCATTGCTCGGGATTCTGTTTCTAGTCTGGAATCCTGGCGTAGCAATCGTCGGGAGCGCAGCACGAGCAGAGGCACGATTAAGCTTGACGAGGACAATGCTGGGCACCAAGGTAGAGTTGCTTTATTCACGCTTTTTGATCATTTAAGTATGCGGAATGCTGCGGTGTGAAGCCGTGACAGAGCTGCGAGTTTTGATACTCACTGGGGCTATCAATCTTTTGAGTGATTTGAAGATTAGCCGATGTTCGCTTACCACCTCCTGCACTCACCACCGGGTCAATGAACTCAAATTACACCTCCCGGGCAAGGATATTATTCGTTCGACAAATATATCAGCAACTTAAGTCCAGGAAGCAGTTGAGTAGGTCACTATTACTGCACTTGAAATCAAAACTCCAAATGCCTGATTCTCTAAATGAACAATTCATCGTCCCACAATGGAATTTTTTCACTTCTCCGGTTACGCGTACTAATCGTTGGCATGCCTTGCTCTTGACAGGTGACACATATTGCACAATTTAGTAGAAACTTTCACCGTGTTTCGTGCGGTCATGAAGTCCTGAGCATGTTTTGAAAAAAATGCAAGGTTGTTATTGAACATGAGTTGACGCGGTTGGTCGAAAGGTTTAGTAAGTACCTTACTGTACCTTGAATTGAAGGTCTTCGAGTACCCAATTTCTCAGTCGGAATTTTTAAAACCACCCTGCTTCGAATGACAAGACTGAAAGCATTTTCCAATGATTCTGTCCAGCTTTATCCGGGACTTCAGTAACTTACTGCTTATTGACCGAAATTTTAGTTCAGCTGCACCAACAATTTCTAAAGATCTGAACTTTCTGCGCTGAGGTGTGTTTGTGAGATATGGGACATCGTCACCGATAATATTTTCAGTGAATTAAATGCCTGTACTAGTTAATCATAAAACTCATTTATTAAATATGGCAGATGAACTATATTTTCATAAGTGATCGGGTGCGCCTTCAACGCTTTTGTCTTTTCTCCATTCAATCGATGAGGACCACAATTGGAGCAGGGGCCAGTGAACTGGTTCGAAAGGCGATACGTAAAAGTTCAGTCGTCTGAAACGATGATTAGGTTAAATCAATCGAAAATATTGAGTGGGTTTTTATTTTATCGCGTCGATCCACAATTTACAGCTGAGGTAAAAGTACTCTTTCGTCGCGTTGGCTCGATAACCACTGACTGAAGCTAACATTTTGAAATTTGTTGCATTCAAAGAAGAAAAAACAAAATCTGCTTTGAGCCTCATAAAACTGCACTGCTGTAATTAAGTGTTAGCACTCTGGACCAACGTTCACCGTATCTAACGACACTATTTTTGACCAAATCTCATATATACACGTTTTTTACCGAGGAACTCCGATCATTGTGGCGAATGAACGGATTCCTTTTTCCAGATAATTGAATCTATGAAGATAAAAAAGTTCTGCAATGGCCCATCGCACATTCCAGCGAAGTGCGAAATGCAATATTTCTAATACTTGGCAATCGCGAGTAAAAATGGAAAGCAGATAACCCACTTTGTTTCTTCGAATGAATCGAAATTCGGGCAAAGTTTATCAGAGCTCGGATAATCTTGAGTTCAACTTCACTTCACTGTATTTTATAATCGACTGACTTTTTTTTCGTAACATAGATTCGTCCACTCTATCTCAAGACTCGGGTTACAACTCCTGGGGCCGGTCCTCGTGTGAGAAATTATCTACGACGTCCAAGTACCATCCAGTGGAAGACGAGAAACCTAGATTGTCGATTTCGGAACGAAAAGCCGCCCTGGAGAATTCGACCAAGCTGCGCCGAGGCAGTGGCGAAGACGTTCGGCCGGTGGACGACACCAACGGAAACCGCCCCGGCGGCCCTTCTGTCAAGGAACGGACTGCCTTGCTGCTCGACTCTAATCGCAATTCTAGCGAGAAGGAGAACGAGGATGACGCGAAAAGCTGCTCGTCGGTTTCTTCGTCGACGTCCGTCAGCTCCGTCACGCCCCGCGGTCGGTCTGCACTGTCCGCCAAAACCATTCAGCGTCCGTTTCCGCGCACCAAGTCGCCGTTGATCAATGGATTCGAGTCCGATGCTAACGTGAGTCTTTTATATCCCTATCCTTATGCCTTACAACTTTAGTGCTGTACAGTCAAACCCCCTTGATAAGCCGCCACCCTTGACAGCCGCCCATTTATTTTGAAAATCAAATCTTTCCTGATAATAATAGCGCTAGAAACCCCGTTAAAACGCCATCCGCCAAAATTTTTGACAAGTCGAATTGCTCCAGCCAGTCAATTTTGTCTTCGGTAGTCCGCCAACAAGAATCAAGCTCCTGCGAGAGGTTTAAAAACAATAAATACAAACCCAAGATAACGTAATTTATGTCTCGGGAACATCAGTTAGATACAATTTACGCATCCCAACGTTATTTAGATTATTTTTTAGTATAATACGAATTTTATTTCCTATTACAGTATACTTGATTTTCCTTATAATTTTAGCTGTTTTGATAATCTACCAACCCGCTCTAAGCAACCAACTCCGTTAAGCCACCAAAATCGTCATAAAAATTAGTGGCGGCTAATCCAGGTTCTGACAGTGCTGGCCTCTACTTTCGGACACCTCAATCTGTCGTACTCCGGTACCTGCGAGTTGGTGCGCTGCTTTATTATAAGACCTTGTATCCCCGAAACCAAGACAGTGCCATCCCTCGAAAATTCATAGAAAAGGTCTGGCGGGGTTAAAAATAATTCACCTGCATTAGATTTAAAAAAGGAAAAATAACTCTTGGGGGTATACTTTAAAGGCATTTCTACGTTTACAGCATTCACGAAGAACATGTTACAGTACTCATTCAGCTTTTCTATTCGCTAACGTCGATTCCTGGCATATTTTCAATTCTTTCTCTACGCTCACCGGCGGAAGTGCTCTACGGCAATTTTATTAATTTGTAGGATTTGAAAGATTAATTTTAAATGAATGTCAGTGACCTGGAATATTACTTTACAGTGATTAATTTCGAAGTAGGCCTTGTGGTCAATAAGCTACTGTATTAGAATTCGCCTTTGATGGACGTCATATTTTCGGAGAAACAAGGTCAGGATCACCTCAAGAACGTTACTGTAAAATATTGGCGTCACCATTCGTGCAAAGGTTTAGTAACCCTGTTGACTAAATTCGGCGACGGTTAAATGCTTCATGTTGAAGAAAATCGTTTACGACAAATGAGAAGGTAGGTTTTGAAATATTTTTCTGCTGGAGCGACGTGCTGAATTGCCTTGCAACCGTTCAATGAGGTTTCTGAGTTAATTTAAGCATGACTCAATGGCATTCAAAAAATTCAAATTCTCTGTTCCGCACTGAGCGCGTGTACTTTCAGTTTCTTTGGGATACATTATGATACTAAATTATTTCGATTAGCTGGCCGTAATGCCGGAGTTCTGAAAAATCTCTTAGTTCTGCGCTCAATTGTGAAATTAAGGATAGAAATTACTGTACTTCCATCCGAACGTCAATCTTTGTGAACCCATTTTCCGCCTCAAAACGCGCAGTCGGAAATATATGGCGAGGGTTGATGCGCTCGAGAAGGTGGTGGTTGAAAAAAATTGGAATGTTGTTGGAAGCTCATGCAAGTTTTGCTTGACAACTCGAGTCTTTTCCGCGGAGTCTTAGAATATCCATCGTAAAGGTCAAAACCCTTTGAAGTTTTCCGAGTATTTCTTCTCATGTTGTATGCAAGCTGAACCTAGTTGCGAGGAAGCAAATTTGCTGCGCAGAACCCAGATCCCATTTGCTGTAATGGGATCTCTTCCTATTGCGTTATTCAGTCTCTTTCCTCTTGAGTCAATCTTGAAGGTAATGCGTTGGTTCGTTACCTGAATTCTAATGCGTTTTTCGATCTTCATTTCAAGTGATTCTATTGTTGAAGAACGACTTAATTTAGAACTTTTTAATCATTTTATTTCTGCTAATCTTATGGCGGACGAGTTTTGTAAACACCTGGAGGTATGACGAACGGACGGATAATTTCAAACGAGGTTTTCAGGTGTTTATCATTATCTTGAGAGGCTTTTCAATCCCTTCTCGCGGTGAATTGAGGTCTTCGAAAAATTGGGGTCATCGTGAGTACAGTACTGTAATTTGAATGACTGGATTCGCGAGCGACGACTAACGAGGTTACCTGTCCCAGTTCCGCGCGCCCTCTGTGACTGAAGCAATTTTAAATTCATGATATCCATGAATGCATTCGCAGAATTTAACTGTACAGTATTTTCCCTTGCGAAATTTCTAAAGATTTGGGATATTGTGGAACAAGGAAGCTAAATTTTGTCGGCACCGGAATCGTTCTCTTCCTCCCAGTCATCCTCAAGAAAAAAAAACAACCTGCGTTGAAATTCAGGAAATTCATAAGAAATGTGTACGATACATTACATTTCATTAGAATATTTTTATTTCTTGTGATTACTCAAAGAGTTTTGATATTCCTTTGATGGTAATTTGTTCAAAGTTGCTCCTGTTACTGTAGTTCGAATGTTTTTGGGATTAATATTATGAAGTACGAGGATGAATACGATAGTTTTTTTTTAAATCTCAAAATTCCCCAGTTTTCCGTTGTTGACTTCATCAGATCGTGTTTGTTTGATGCTATTTCTATGCTTTCACGTATCTCCATTCCTCTAATTTTAAAGATTTTTAAATAACTGTCCTGTATGATTTTTGTGTAGATTGTATTTTGAATTTATAGTATGGTTTTCCTCACACCAGGTCGGATTCTCGTGTAATTCTGAATACTTAATAATTGTTATCGTCTTTTTGTTGAATCGTCAAGTTAATGCCGTATTTTCAACATCTGCTGAGAGAAAGCATACGTTCTTGCACCGATGCTATCGCATGCCAATTAGATCGTGCCAAATGACCGTCTGTTCCGAGCAAACTTTTATTTTGCTGCTCTTTTTTTTTCATATTGACCAGGACTCCCCGACGAATATAGAACTGGAATTGGCGAGACAGTTCACGAATGATTGCGCTATTCTATCGAAGCATCCTTATCTGGAGAAAGGAGGTCAATCAGGCCTGCGAAACATTGGAAACACGGTGATTTTATATTTTAATAATCTTTAATCTGTAGTTAGTGTGAATTAGTTCTTTGACGGTTCAGTGAGTCATCGATTCAATTTTCAGTATTCGTTCTTCGTAACAACACTCAATAAGCTCTCAAAAAATACGAACTCAGATCATCCGGTATAATGAGCGTGAGTATGAATATCATGGATAAACGAGCGTTCTTAGGCCATGTCATCAAGATATATACAGTTGAAAAATTGCTCAACATTCTTAATTTCATTCCCTTATATTGTGTTTTACCGGATGATATTTCAAACAGAAAAAAATAAAAGTGGCTCAAGTTAAAATCAAATGCTGAGCAAACTGCTTCATTTCCCGGGAACGAATTAAAATTTGGAATCATAGGAATTTTAGAGTAAAATATCTTGTACTCTTAATCATCGCAATGATTTACGAACCATTAAGATTCGTTTTTCGAAATTCCTAATTCCCCAAATTCAAACATTCAATGTTGATTTTTGTTTCAGTGCTTCATGAACAGCATCATACAGTGTTTGACGTACTCTCAGCCGCTGCTTGAGTACGTTATTGAGGAAAAGTATCTCAACGAGATCAGCTCCAAATCACGAATGGAAGGATCTATCGTGAAAGGTATTTTCTCAATTTGCGTCTGCTCTTTTTTTTCATGATCCTTCGTTTTTATCTGTTGTTGATGATTGTGTATTCATTCAACGTCGTGAACCGACTCACTTTTTTTAAACCGTTTCGGCCCTTTGCCCTTGAACACACCAACGTTCAAAAAAGCGAGGAACCTAGAGTTGTAAGGCAGCCCGAGCTGAAAGCAAATTTCAAGTTAAAAACACTTTTTTGTGATAATTCGTGCTTCACCCATTTTTTGTGTGATAATTTATCTTCCAAAACCAGTTATCTCAATTAATAAGCCATCACTGACAACCTGTGCAGTCTTAATCCTTCAGGGGTGTTTTACGTGAGCATCAAAGGACATGCGACTGTTGATGCAGCACTTCCCGAAGTTTAAGATGGATACTCATTTAGCACAGGTTAAATCAAGCTTTTCAGGATTCAGGAAATAATAATTTTGCACAACATTTCATTGCGAAGTTATCAATGGAAGTTTGGGATGCATGCATTCACTAATTTTGACTTGCTGTTGCTGTACTTTTTACTCTCTTTACGAAAGAAAAGCAGTCACAGAAAAAAACCAGTATCCTAGGAGTTTGACCCACATTTTTCTGTTCCGAAGACGATGCTGTGTGGCAACACCTTTTTGCTCTCATTCTTGAGTACAGTACTTTTCGGCTTCCAAAACTTCAACATGAAGCCACTCATCTCGGTGATGCTCATGTTTGCAAAAACCGCACAATTCAAGTAAAAAAAAAAAAACGAGAAAAGTATTCGTAGTTTTTTATTTTAAATTTATTGTTCGGTGTAACAATAACGATTTCTGATATTGAATCGTCTCATTCGTGCGTAATTCGTAATACCGACGTGCATTTTTCAGCCTTCGGCAGCTTGGTGATGGAGTTGTGGCGCGACAAAGGGAGTTATGTGAATCCTGGACATTTTAAGAAGTGCGTCGCAAAGTTCGCCCCACGTTTTATGGGGTACGACCAACAAGACGCTCAGGAATTCTTACGTTACTTACTGGACGGCTTGCATGAAGACCTCAATCGTGTCATCATCAAGCCCAAGCCGATGGATCGAGAAGTCGATTCCTCTTTGACGTAAGTTCTCAGACCTGCTGAAATGTCAACATCGACATGCCTTGTTTGTTACTGCATGCCGTTGAGCAGCCAGAAATTTATAGACTTTCGTTGCTTATCCGGAGGCTCCAGAGTCCGGACTAATCTGGTGTTGTTGATGTCCGATTGTTGTCATGGAATTAAACTTGGGAACGGAATTACGCACGGACCTGATAACCGTAGTTCAGGATTCATGTTTTCATTTTTTGGAGAAATATGATCTGAGATAAGATCTGCGTTGAACGAATTATCTCATTCACCGTGTGTGAATGAGACACTGACTGATACAAGATCAAGTTGATGGCCACTCCGATTGATCGTAATCTGCGGTCGAAATGTAATCTGTTCTGATGATTCCCGTCTTCTTGCTTCTTTTTGTTTGTTTGTTTGTTTTTGTTTTGTTTTGTCTCTGTTGACTGTGCATACGCAGTACTTTGAAAATAACTAAAGATTTTTGTTCTGAAGTACAATTTTCTCTGAAGACAATACTGTATAATGGATTTGGTTCTGTAAATGAATACTTGTTTCATGTATTCAGATTGTGTTCGGCCGTCGAGGCCGTTTAGAAACTGTATGTGTTTGTTATAGCCAAAAAAGGAATTCTACTTGAAATATACACGAAACGGAGGTAGTTTTCCAAAATTTATCCCTGTAGGAATACCTTTCATCTCGCGCGCAGTTTGGAAAGATCAATTCTGTTGGAAAATAAATTAATTCTTCAATTGATTCTTTCAGGTTGTGTTCTACTTACGTTGTGATGTAATTTTTAGTTGAACAATGTGTTTACGTGCGAGGGATAGTCAAAAGTTTTGGAAGAACCTTTAATTTTATTTCTTCGATTACCCAAATTTCCTAGCGAGAATTCACCAAGCCTCGGTGGAATCAGCAACGAGACCGAAATCAAGGCTCTCTTCATTTCATAAGGATTTTCTTCAATTGCTGCCCTGACGCAGGCGACGTCTTGCTCACCAGAATACATTTCATGAAACGTTAACTTTGCGTCTCTAACTCGAAAATTTCCGGAATCGAAAATTTTTTTTTCATGGACATGATTGTCATATTGATTCGGAATACAGTATTGCAAGTTGCAACAGAATATTTTCCGTCATATTGAACATTTGGTTGCATTAGTCGACCTGATGCAAGTGGAGTATGTAAACCTGATTTGCTCACAGGATGGAATGTACGTTTAGGTATTTTTTCTTCGAATTCTAAGTATGTTAGTAAAAATGTTATTGATGGCCAGGAAATTATGAAGTATTGGACTATAAAAATAGCGTCCGTCGCCATCCATTCAACAAGGGAAGCACATGACTGACGAAACATGAGAACCAACCTGCCTGCATCTTTAATACATTACATCCTTCAGCATGAGCCGTGGCTTCTCTTGGTTGAAATGAAAATTTATGAGGGTGCGTGACCATTTTTCAACGAACTCGGTCGAGTTGGAAAATGTTGGCGTATAAACGAGTTTCGATTTTTCTTCGTGGTGAACTACATTCAAATGCTTTTGTTGTAACAAATCAATATTAAATTTTTCAGTGATGCGCAGAAAGCCGAAGCGGCGTGGCAGCAATACTTGAAGTTTGACAATAGTCGGATAGTGGACATCTTCGTGGGACAGCTGAAGTCAACCCTCACGTGTACAGTGTGCGACCACAAGAGCGTGACATTCGACCCGTTCTGGGATCTTTCAGTGTCACTGCCGCAGGCACTCGGATTGTCCGAGTGCGTCGACTTGACAGAGTGCTTGGAGCTCTTCACGAAGGAAGAAGTGCTCGACGGCGACGAAAAAGTGGTACGACTTCATCCGCTCTGATCCAAGAAGTTAATGAGTGTACGGGTACTACCTCACCCTGGGAACGAGGGTGTCTGGTTTCCGTGCGAAGTGGTGCCGACAGTCCACCAAATTGTTCAATATTTAGTTATACAGTACTTTCAATTCATGAATCTGTACTGCATTTTTGGAGCATATGCCAGAAATATACCGGGATAATATTAGCCCCCATGATCACCCGGGCTTGGAGGAAATCGTAAAATTAAACATGGTTCGATATAACCGCATAGATAAGAGTAGGAAACTGATAAATGTAAGGGAGAAATAAGTCTTCTGGCTGTTGGGATGCTACTTTTAGAATTTGTTATCTTGCGAAAAGCAAAACGAAATCCATTGATTTAATCGGATCGTATAAGTTCAGAAGAACCCTGTATTTTCTGTTGAAAAATTCTATTCGCTCAAAAGTTCAATCACTGTTCCGTACTCAGGGTGCGCCAGAAGACAAATGACGTTATGGAACCATCCTCTAGCTCGCGTATCTCCGCAATGGTTTATCTTATGACATTAACGCAGATTGAAAATTCAAGATCGTCGAATTTCCTTTGGAATGACTCCGCGTGTGTAGTTTTAAATGCTTACAGAATCTCTGATTTTCTCTTTGCCAGCTTTTCAACGAGGTCGTAGGGTTACAAACGATGGCCAAATTTGCCTCGCTGTCGATCCGAGAGTGTAGTAATTTTAAAATCGCGCATAAATGGTTCACTCTTCGCACGGATTCCCTCAACCCTCCGAAATGCACCTGGAACATTTTTCGTCTGTGCGTATTTGATTTAAACGCACATCGATGCATTTGAACCCGTATTTGTGGTGATTTTTGAAAGACAATGAGGTTTGAATGAGACTATATTATAAGGTCACAAATTAACCTTCAACTGTTCAGGAAATGCCGGTGTTCTAAGGCTAGCAACTTGTAATCTGGTTTATCCTGTACTATGGAAACTCCGTGATGCGGGTGAATGACGCATGTCTTTTTCCAAATGGATTAAATGTCATGAATCAAAAGCTTGAAAGAGATGGTATTTTATTTTATTTTCTCCACCCTGCTACTATAATAACGAATAAATTACTTAGGATCATGAGGAAGTGCATCGTTGACTCAAGAGTTTCTTTTGTAAACGGGAAGTGCTGACTGTGTCTAGAATCAGTTTGATTCTGCCGATTGATTGCTTTCTCGGTAAAATCATTGAGCTTCAGGCTGAGTGCTGGTTTCTCCCGGGCATAGTGACGCAAATTGAGTGACGATGACTGACGTTTCTGTTTATCCATGCATTTGCTGGACTCACGTGCTTCCAACTTATGCCGTTGATTCAAGTGCCAGATGTTCTTGTTTCGTCCGTACAGGAGTGCTCGCGATGTAAAAAGCTCGTGAGAGCTACCAAGAAACTCACGATCCAGCGTTACCCGAAGGTGCTTGTTCTGCACTTGAAGCGATTTGGAGTTGATCGTTTCCGTGGAAAACTGCAACAGAAGGTGATCTACCCGCTAATCGGGTTAAACCTGGCGCCGTATTCCTCTGCTGGTGCCATGAGCACCTGTGGACGTGCGGGGATCTACAATCTCTGTGGCGTTGCGAACCACGTCGGGTCGTTGTATAGGGGACACTACACCGCGTTCTGTCGCCATCCGTACCTAGGACAATGGTTCGAATTCGACGACACCATGTGAGTTTCAAAAATTCCTTCTGCTGCTCGCAGTACAGTATTGATTCTTCGGCAGTCTGAGTTTTTTGAATTTATCATCTTTAGCCCTTTATTGCGTGCACAGTCAGCCGCAAAAATTCGAATTTGTGTGCTTTATACGCGATTACGAAGCAGGACGCACTTCACAAGGGAGTTCTTTGAAAATTTAGCTGCGACACTCACTTGAATACGCATATATAGCAGTTCTGAACGATTTTGCGTAATTTATTTTTGTGCGAATGTCGTTACTACAGAACTGAATCGCGGAATGCTGAATTTGGACTCGAGTCAAAATTAAATCAAGATCAAATAATTGAGCATTCACGCTGTTCTAAATAACTTATTCAGCATTCGTGGTTGTTTTTGAATGATGTAATGATTGAATCTCGTGTTTGACAGAATGTAGCTTTTCAGCAAATCGGGTTGTCGTAATTCTTGCTGTATCCACGATGGCATTCATGCATTCAATGTACAGTAGTTATATGGGAGTCGCTGCAAAGTTTTGCTTTACAAATCACGACCAACAATTGTCTCACTCCACTGTAGTAAATTAGGTATTGACTTTTATATTGGGTCCTCATTACATCCAATGAATCGAATTTTCTCTTCTGAATTCGGCAGGGTATCAAAGATGGACAGCCTGGGTGATATTGTGTCCAGCTCGGCTTACGTGCTCTTTTACGAGCTCAGTTCAGGCAGCTACAAGCATTCCTCCCGGTAAGACAGAAGTATGCCGAAATGTGGGAAAATAGCACAGCACTGTGGAAGATAGCAGCATCTTGGGCGTTCTTGTCCCAGAAGACGTAAACGCTTCCGTAACTGTTGGTCAACTGAAAGTCAGCTGTTTTTTAAATGACGATGAATTCCGCGGAGTGACCAGTGTTGAGGCATTTTTCGCGTTTTTTTTTTTTTTTGAAGCTGTAAGTGTTCAACTGAACTTCTTTTTAGGCAGTTCTTTTTTTTCGTATATGTGGTCGTGTTATTTCTCTCGCTGGAGTTCCCCGGTGTTTTTTGAATATTTGTTGAATGTGAGAAAAGGAGGAAACTGATCACTGTTGGGAAACGCCCTTGGCAAGTAAAACCGATGAAACTGTGCGGACGAAACTAAACGGGAATGTGTTTAGGTATTTGATTGATGGTCTTATGATCACATTTAACCATGTGCTCTGTTTGTTGTCCCATTGTGGTCCCTCGCGAGCAAAAGGATCAGTGACGCGTTTTGTTCAATGTTCTCTTCTCTTTCACACACTTGTCTTTGTATGTCTGACCTCGAATGCCTGTGATTTCTGAAGTCAAGAGAGTTGAATGCTTATGATGAGGAACGGGGTTCTAGTTGATGAATTTGAATACGTCCCAGACGGGTACGTCCCGTGTCCCTGATTTACGTTATTTTTTTCGTGATGCTAGGTATGGGGAACGTTAACTTTACTCGTGAATGTCCTGTGACCTAACCTGGAACACCCTTGGATTTATACTTTTTCGCTAGAGAATGATGCCACGCGTGTTTTCGTTCTACGTACGGAATGCTGGGATCCGGTATAAACCGGGAAGGGTTAGAAATTTGTCATGTCCCTAGGGATTTATCGAGATACGTCTCTGAACTGTGGTGCGTTGGAAATTGGCGCTGCGAGCGTAGGTTTTCTGATTCCATCCCTGGCTGGGCAATGGTTTCAGGACTTCTGTTGCCCATCCAGCGCTTCCCATGTAACTTGAACGTGAAGTGGCCATAACTGAGTGATGGGATGTTGGTCGTCCATTTTCATTCCGTGGGTGCATGGAGGAATGATGGACGGGGATGTGATAACGAAGTATCAGCTGGTTACCGTGGAATATGGTGTAAGGGCAAATTATCCTGTTGTCTAATCCCTGTACAGAAAGATGGTTTAATTTGTAATTCACTCTGATGGTGTAGGAGTCCGTGATAGGTTCACGAGATCAGAAGCAGTAGTTTACTGTTATAATAGTTTATTTTGGTAGATGTCGCGCGAGCTCCCTGGGATGCTTTATCGGTTTTGAGCAGGGTTCCGGTGGATTTGAGGATATACGGAAAACTTTTTCTATGATCTTTACTTTTATCTGAGATTCGTTTTGTGTGCCGTTAATGACCTTGAGAATTTAGATCTATCTGGAGAGATTTCTCCCGTGTTTATTCGCAGCGCAAATTGTTCTGGAAAGCTCATCAGGGACATGTGATGACCCTGGAACTGTCAGACTTGGTGTTGTTGAGATGTTCCGATATTTGTTGAAACGTTCAGTGTTGGCAGCAGTACGTGGGAAAGGCTGCGGTCATGGGCGCCTTTACCGATTCAATTGTTGGTGGTTTTTTCCCCGTAATTCGGCATTTTATTTCCGAAGGCAGCGGTTGCGTATTATTTCGGCCAATTACCTTGTACCCCGAGTTCATTCACATGTTGGTTGCGAACCCTCGAGTATTGTTTGCTTGGTCTGTTCCATTGGCTTCATCGTTCAATAAAATAAATAATTCTGATTAATGTGTTTGGATTTATTTCGGTGCCGTATTTTAGAAAGTTATGAACGTACATGTGTAGAATTTGAGTCGTCAAATTTTTCAGCATGGGAATGTTTCGTTGTCATCCCGAGCACAGAAGTATTGTGCGGTCTGGGAAGAACATTTTTTGGCCTTCTGGATTTCTGCTGAAGTTCTGATTGATGGTACTCACGTTCAGAAAAATCAGAGAGTCATTAAAAACGATTCTCCATCCACATGAGGGGAATGAAAACAGCATTTATTGGCAAACAATTGTTAATCTCTAAATAAATCACACTAGAAACGCTGCCCTTGGTGGGTCATCGCAAAATGGAAGTAATACAGCATGTCCCTGGGTGCGTATCTCGAATTTTCGTCCTGCGAAATGCGATTTCCCTGAAGGCTACATTATGAGTGAACTACGAATTGGCTCCTGATGTTCACCAAAAGTCCGCGTTGAAAACGTCGTATTTTTCCTAGTTGTCATAGCATACATTTTGGAATTTATAATTGCATTTTAATAATTCTAGCAAGATTTGCTCTGAAATTTCTGAATTTACAAATTTTTATAGACAATAGGCAAAACTTGGCCCTTATTTTATTATTTTCCTTTTTTAAATTCCGGAAGTTTTTTCCCAGAACAGCAGAACTTGTTGAAATGCAAGCGTTTTTTGGTCCAAAAATTCCGTCAGGCGAGTTACTTTTTTCCCTTGAAAATTTAGGTATGCAGATTTTTGGTTGTGCTGGTCTTTCGTCATGCGGAGACTAACTGTAGAGCATCGAAAATTTCTTCTTCAGCATGCCGAACAGTTGTAGCGGGTGATGTCGAAGATTTCCCTCTTCTCTCACGCAGTTGACGTATCGACCCAAACATTCATAATTGCCTTTCATATAAATGAAAAAAAAAATTATTCACGATTTTCTTGGTCTATAATAGTTCCACGAGAATTGCCGTGGACGACTTCGATTTCGTCCTTGGATTTCCCAACAGTTCTTCTCGATTCAATGAGAGAGGACTCGCCTATACCGGGAACAAAATATCGAGAGCTTTTGTTCCCTGCTCGGATTCTTGGTACAGCAATGTCTCTCCCTACTTGCAATGGCCGGAAGCACTCTGATACTGTGACCTTTGTGCTATCGTCGTTCTTTGATTCCCGACGAAAGGGGGGAATGTCGTAATAAAACGAGAATTTGATCCCTCCGACACAAAGTTCGTGATGAAAGCCGACAGTCGTCAGAAAATTGGTCAAACCCGACACTGTAGCCCGAAGAAGCGGGAGAATTCCACCCTTTGAAGGCGAACATTTTATTGCCTCTTTCGCTTTGATTCCAGAGAGGGCTTTATAGATATATCCAGATCGGGCGTTTCAAATGCTGTACGCAGTACGGGACGCGTACTTGATTCTGAAATTCGGGTTCGTCAGTTATCGTTCAACTTATCCTGTCAACTTGAACTACTAACTACAGTACCTTTGTCCCTCAATTATACAAGCTCCAGGACCCAACCCCACAAAAAGAAAAAGAGCTGCGCTCAAAAACGCTGTATATTGGCATAGAACTCGAGTTTTTTGCCCACCGGACGGAATGTGGACAATTAATGCCATAAACTGTCAGATTTTCGCTGAAATATTTTCGGCAGGCGAAAAAACAAATGTTTGTTAACAGCTGGAAAATTTTCTTTGAATTCACAAGTTGCTGAATGCTGATTTAGAGGAAAATTTCAAGTCCAAGCGTAAAAACATCCGGCTGAACTTAGTCCACAAACTGAATATGCGAGCAAGCAGGTACTGTACTTGACATCAGCATTCGTGCGGATAAGCAAATCCACTCAAGAAAGTTTACAGGCTACTAGACTAGTAAACGATATGTGCAGTATATGCGTTTTTCGCCATGAAATGGCTGCAGCTCAAGGTCATTGCGTGGCCCATGCGCTCTTTATACTGGCGACTATTCTACATGAAGAATCGATCAGGATTGAAGTTATGCATTTCTTATGCACGGCTGAAGTTTCAACGTATGCACTTTTCGATGCAAATTCATTTCAATCTACTTTCTGGAAGTCTAGCGCAATACTACGGAGTTTGAATCAATCGAAGCATGATTGTGCCCCAGCATATTTTCCATCGAGCGAAAAAAGGGGGGAGTTTTCGATTCGTGAGATGCAAATGATGGTCTTTGGGGGCATGACCCATGAATGGAAACCACAAGAGCATTGCGGCATTTTACGCAACTTGAAGCATTTGTTATCCTTCTTTCCGAACAAGCCCATCCCTTTGTGTAAAATTGCCATATATCGAAGTAACATTTCAGTCTTCGTGCATTCCTCAAAAACATTTAGAAATACAGTATATCACGCCTATATATGCGTTTGTTTTTGAATTTCATCAGTTCACGCGTGTTCTTGGTTGAAGCCTTGGATGTATGAATGAAGGGTTCAGTGCTGATTGTAAATGTATATTTTTGATCATTTCCCGGCCGCTGCTTCATGTTTTTGCTCGAAGGTTAAAATTGGAAAGAAGTGTCAGAGATTCGAATATCACTGCGAAAAAATTTTATGCGGATTTCCAACTTATTTCACGTTTCCTGTTACTGAAGATGGTTTAAAATCTGAAATACTGTACTCCAAGGTACCATGTTTCGAATTCTAAACAATTCTTCGAGGAAAATATCAAGAATCTTAAAAACACATTCAAATACAATATGTTGTGCTGCTGGAAAATTGCTGCATTCATTTTTGAATGTAAAGCTATCACTTACAATTTGAATGGGCGGGCAGTGAGTTATTCAATTTTGGGGCTAAAATTCACGGGAAGCCTCGGAAAATTGATGACGCTTTATTTGATTTTTTTTAATAACGTCCGCTATACGATCAGTTCTGTCCTTGAATAACTGCTTCAAAATTATCTTCATGTTCTTCGTTTTTGGAATGAGTCTGGACCGTTTCTTGCCTTCAGCAAATTTTTAAATAGCATACCGTAATATTCCTTCAGTTAAGCGTAAAATACGTGTGGGGTCACAAGCTTTTACAAGTTCAAGGGATTCATTTACGACATTCTCAATTTGAAAAACACAATCCTTGATGTGCTCTTCGTCATAATTCGCGACAGACCTAAAAAAATACATAATCTTGTATAAGACATGCGATTACAACCTATTGGCCGCATGGGACATTTTGAAACTTTTTGTTGCTTGAAGTAATTTTATGCATGACAAGAAAATTCTCGAATTTTCCAGTCACATCGGGAATTTTCTTGAATACTTGCACTTATATGAAGGTCGCGGTGGGAAAAGCTGCGGTTATTGCGACAAATTCGAATTCGCGAGAATGTGTGTCATCGGCGTGCATTTGTTAGCATTAGAACTTGTTCAGAATAATGTTCCCGAAATTGGTAGAACGGAATGAGCCCCCTCGGAGTTGAATTCCGAGTCATAAAAGTAAGTTTGCATGCGGTGGAATTGAGTTTTTGAAGGAGAGTATCGGAGCAGGCACGTCAGTATCGCGTTATTTTTCTGGCTGACGCAAAGCAGATCACCGCAGCCCGACATCGCCGGATGTGTCGGAATTCCTTCTCCACACGAAGAAAATAAAAAGAATAAGACGAAGAGCAAAGGCGGCATTTGAATGATCCAGCTGAGAAGAAGCACGACGTGTGAATATATCAGGTCACCGGAACAGAAGAAATACCGTAATCCCGGCGTTATGTAGAAATACGGGATTCGTCTCGCATCGCGTCCTCCTCCGGGCCCCGGAAGCACACACCCGATGTCACGCCCGGCTGGGACCCGTGGAACACCCGTCGGTGAATTTCAAGCAAGCATGGACGTCATTGATGCAATGTCGGTATTCCTCGGAATGCTGGTTGGGTGAATATGACCGCAAGTCGGGCCACATTCTTCTTCCTGCGACGTCGCGGCTTTCATTGCTGCTGGACTCGACACTGCTGAATGCAGCCAGCAATCGCATGCATTCATTTAACCTCTATTTATCCTAGAAACCCTTGTCACTGTCGTTTTTCTTTCTTTAAAGCTCCAGTAAAATAATGAGGAAAACTAAATGAAGTAACACCCTGTCTCATAGAAGTGAAGTCACTCATGAACTTCCTCCTATACCAGCATTGTGGTTCCTGTCGTCCAGTCTATCTCCCGGGGATTTCCAATGTCTGGATTTTCTCCTTGTTCACAATTTTTTCTGCACATGCAGCTGTCCTCAGCTGAGGTAAAGAAAAATCCTCAGTAAGATTGAAATCAACAATCATTCTGTTGGTATGGCCCCTGATGCAGTGCCTTTCACCACAGACACAATCTCCCATTAGGTGGCATGGATATGTTGTCAATTCGAAGAGAAAGCAGGACGAGGCCCATCCTAACTTTGGCAAGTTCCATTTTCAATTCCAACAAGTGTTGATTGGTAGAAATGTGCTCCCAATTCCAAACCAAGTTCACTTACAATCCAAGATTTATTTAACTGGATTTTTTGTGTGTGTCATGCTGCTCATATTTCATGATTTTATTCTCATGGGTGTATGCATACATGTCAGATGTCCAGTTGTATTTTGTGCATTGTATTTTCTTTTATTTTTGTTATCCATTTGTGCTCTGTTTCTTGCTCTGAAGTGATTAAATGTCTTTGAGTGGATTTGGGTTAGGTGGGGAGGGGGTTTGGATGTGGAAATCTTGATTGAACCTTGTGAACGCTGAAAAGAGGCAAATAAAGTGTCGGTTCATTCATTCATTATTCTCATTTACAAAATTTCAACTTTGCGACACGGAAAATGTAATGCTTTCAACCTCTTTCTAAAGGCAGATCAAGGTGTTTCAAGAGATATTTTTCATCCCAAACTAAGATCCGTGGCCCCTTGAAACAAAGCTTTACAATGGTTTCTAAGCTGGATTTCTGACTGGAATTCCCTCTTCATTTGAAGAGATTGAAAACGATTGGGAAAAGTCTAATCATTTGAAAGATTGAAGATCTTGACAACAAAGCGCAAGGGAAAAAATAATTTA